TAGTTAGATCGATAAATATTTTAATTCGTGATGTTAAAAAAAACAATATCAGAAATGATACAAAAGTATTAACAACGTTTAAGATAAGTGACCAACTTCAAAGAAGTAGTTTGTAGAGTTACGTAACACGACTGTTAATTTGTACAGAGGTGTACGATGGGTAATGCAATTTTAGCACAATCAATATTACATAATTACTCTCGCAGTATGTTACTTACAAACTATTTCCGTTTGGTAGATCACGTTTATACAACAATAAAATCTACAACAGCGCTTTAGTTGTCGATTTGCCGCGTAGGTTTAAACATGTTGTTTAAGGTGCACAGTTCTTGTATGGTATTGTTAGTAATTCTTGTAAAACTGTCCGTCATGTTACTGCTTTCTTCGATATTGACCACCTCGGGGTTTCCTCCTCTGCTAGCTTCCGGCTAAATTTAATAAAAGTTTATTCTATTGTTAATTTGTTACTATTATCAATATGACGAAATATAAACGTCTGGTATTGTGCGTACCCTATTAGAGTCCGAGATAGACAACCCACTAGATAAGTTATTAGAGAGAGCAGTACCAAAAGCGGCAAGTTCCGCTGAATCGAGAGGGTTTAGACTTGAGTCAAAGTTATATTGTTGATTGTCCATATCTAAAAGGCTTGTGACATCTGTTGCTTCCACTCCACCTGCTAAATAGATTATTATGCGTGAATTGATTGACATTTCCCATTAGTGGTCAGAGACAAATGGAACGATCTAAGCAGAATTTATATGTATTACCAGCAATGTTTAACGTTTGTAATTCTTCTTGATAATTAGGCAACACCCTACCCAGCATTAATTCCTCCTGTGGTTGTAACGCGTTGTGTACATATGGAAATTGTTGTTGGACATGTATTCCTGCCGATGGTGGTTGTACTGCCCGATTATTTGTCGATTGATATTGAGGAGATAATTGCGATTGAACAACAGGCGAGTTGTACGGACTGTAATCTTTGTAATCCATAGGCGATGGTGTGCGACCTGGAGATACTTGAGGTCTGTATAACATATTTACATTTGTACAAACCTACATTATTTTCCTGTACAATGCAGTTTTATTCTCCAACCTTCAAGTATAAACAAAATTTTAGTTACCTCAAAGCCTGCATCGTAGACTGTGGCTGTGGAGAAGTTGTTCCCATGGAGTACATTGGAAAGGATGCTCCACTTGCAACTGGACCTCCAAAAGGAGGTATCCTTTCTGTCGGTTCCGATTTGATTATGTTAAAATTGTACGTAATTGGTTGATTTAACATGGCAGCATCTACGATACGATAAAACAAACTCTGCAAATTCTCGACATTTTTCATTGTACAAAAAAATGCACATCTATCTTGCACATTGTTAGACTATCATTATCATTTGTAACATTTTACGAAAGACATGTTGTGTTAGTTTTCATTCACGTTACTGTAGGAAGGAAAAACATATAAAGATTACGAAGGGAGAAACAAAAATTAGCCGACAAATGCAACGTTTTTAAGTAGAAGAAGGTTAGTTAGGAAGATGATGCATGCAAACTTTATGTATTTTCACTCCAAAGGTTACTCGAAAAAAACTGTACTTCGTACTGTAATAAAAAATACAGTCAACATGATTACAAAATATCATCAAACAAAATTAATATTATCATGTCGTACCTGCGAGTCTTATTATACGATATTTTTTTTAAATCTGAAATTGATTGGGAACGGAATAAAAGACACGATACTTTCATCATCAAATAATTGTACATGTATATAGATAGATATATTATGCATATGTAAGTTATACAATGTATAGATATAGTTGTTTTTTTTTTTATGAAGCAGTTTATAAAAATCTTTGTATTACCATACAAGTATCGAACATTGTTTTTGTTTCTGTTATGTATTGCTGAGTTTTCAAGTGCAACATTATTGTACGAGAGCAGGGTACTTGTATACCGTTAAACCTTAAGCTTTACAGACATTTTTTACAATATACTTTTTCGTCACACTAATGTATATAAAAATAGCTTCAATTCGCGTAATTATCGATCGTAATTACAAAAATACAATGTTCTCTTTAAAAGTTACAAGGCCACTGCTCTCCAATCATTTAAGTACAAATTTCAAATGTTTATACAAAATACGTCCTTAAAAAAGTATAAAACAAGATTCCTCATCAGTGTGTGAAAATATATATATATATATATTTGTGTGTATGTGTATATATATATATATATATATATATAGCATTTCTCTTAATACAATGACAATTCTAAACCGTGAAACACATCGCCCTTTGCACAATGAAAATTCTAAACGATCGCTCCACGTCAACTGTCTAGATAATTAGGCACTATTCGATGCGATTGAATGCACTAAACATTCAATGAGAAACGTCTCCAATGTGCAAAGGGAGATCAGATTAATTCTGTGGTTAGTATATGATGTGACTCAAGAACGCTGAAACATTGGTATTCCGACAAATATAAACTTTCGTTTCGTAAAAATGCCGTAAATATTTTCCAAATGTACAAGTACTTCAAACCTCCGGAACTTACAACAAATTCTCTAGATATCCGTTACAACAACAATCAATACAACAAATGGAGCGTAACGGGCCCCAATTAAAAATGCACAAAATGGTATCCATTGCTGACGTCATTGAAACAGCTTGCTATTCGTTCTTCGTTCACGTAAAGTACATAGCAAATGTCAATGTGAAAATTAGTTACAGTATAGGAAAAGTAGAGTCAGCCATTTTCGACATAAACGTACATAGCACAATGGACTTTGATAAATTTTTGACGATGCAACGATGCCATTGATGATGCTACGAAACCCAACCCCGGCAAAGCTGTAGAATTGAGGACAATTTCAAGAAAAAAAAAAAAATACTCACGCTTCTCAGCTTCTGCCTGTACATGCCTCAAAATTAGCGCGTTTGGACTGTTATTAAACTTTTGTCGCTTTCGCCTTAACGAATCTGGATCATCTATAAATGATTGTATATTAACCACGTGATTTATCAACAGTACTATATTAGTTGCTCCGAAGACGAAAGGCCTCGCTTGTCCCGCTGTTAAATAATCTATCTGCACAAATGATACTTTTCTGGTTTAAAACACTTACAAGTTACAAACAAATAAAACGATCTTACTTCCAACTATAAATTAAATGCCTATTCTAGGACTAGAAATTTAGTGATGCGTATAAACATGAGACACCATAAGAAACAAAAAAACAAAAAACAAAAAAAAAAGAAACAAAACTTAACAACATATTATAAATAGTAAAAAGCAATATGCAAGAGGACAAGTGTAAACACTGTAAAATTTGACTAGAATGGACGCTAAATCCTTCGATATTAAACAACAAGTTCCAGCTGAGTCCACGTTATCAGCAATCGTTTAAGATGCGTATGAAAGACTATGGATAAAGAGTAACAATTTGTACCTCGACTAGAATAGCGTTACATTAATTTCGGTGCGTTTTGATCAAAGTGTGTTCTCAGAGTCTCTTATACAAAAATCGTAACATACACGAGTGCACCGCAACGGCGCGTATGTATCGAAGCTACAAGAATTCATCTTGGAAAAAAATCACAATTGCAAAAGTAGCAGCTTCGACAAATCACAATATTCGCCATTTTTAAAGGTATATCAGCATACCTTTACGTTATTAGTTACGAAAAGAAACAAATCGCTTTTAAGTGGAAGTACTGTATCAAACGTTACAAATAAGAAAGCAAATTACGTTTCTTTTTTTTCTGAAAAAATCTTTCCACCTTCTACGGGACTATAATAGAAAGACATTTCATCAAATTCAGATGCCGTTGCATGAGGCGCCATTGCAGTATACAATGCGTAATGCTCAGCCTCTGTTAATTCCATTCCATAAGGTGGTGTCTCGTCGCCTTCCAATCTAAGAGATTTAACGCTAGTGGTACTTATCGCACTAGGTCTTGGATTCTGCAACGAGCCATCCGGTATATTGTTCTTCGTCAAGTATGAAATACTTTCTGGTGTATTCAACGAAGAATTGCTTCCCTTAGACGTATTCGAAACGGTATCTTTATTTTTTTTTATTTTCTTAGCGAATAATTTCGAGAAAAGTCCTTGCTTGGAGCTTTTGGGCAGTGTACCAGGTAGGGAAGGTAAATTTTTGTTTGGTGCACCAACAAACGAGTCAGTTGTCTGAGAGGATATAGGACGAGGTAGAAGAGGCATGGAAGGCATTTTGCGAATGCGTTTTGGCGGTAAAGGCGGTAATGTTTCCTCCGCTTCTTGCGTTCCATCTCTCTTGGTAGTTACAGGAGGAGAAGGAGAAAAATGATGTAGGTTTATCTTTGGTATAGTCACGTCTTCGTACTTCCTCTCGATTGGTAAATCGATGAATTCTACAGGATTTTTCATTGCCATTTGTAGACTAGTGTAAGTCTGATTGTCACAAACGTCGATCTCCATTGGTTGGTCGGTCGTGCTCTGCTCGAATGCTGCCTCCACTAACTTTGTGTGCGTGTCAGCATAAATCTGATCCAGTTCGGCTACTTGTGTCAATAATTCGTTAAACGACTTGTTGCAATCTTCCGTCTCGATTTTACACTCTGGTTCGTTATCTTTCTCTTTTAGACACATCTGACCTTTCTGTACCCATTTGTCTACTTCGGAATAATCGAACCAGTCGGACTTATTTTTAGGAAATTCCGAACTTTTCGACAGATTTGCATTAATAGCAGCTGTATCAGATTTAGCGAGAGTTAAAGTGCTAGCATTGGTATCGATTGTTTCCTTATCTAAACGTTTACTGTCAGTTTTGTACAATCTATTTATCTGTACAGTTTCGGTGCTAATTGGTACCTCGTTATTCTCGTAATCTATTATAGTGTTTTTTAAGTGACCTACGTTTTGTGCGGTATTTTGATTGATTTCGTTATTCCCGTTGCACGAATCTAACGTGTTTCTTACGTTGTATAAATCGTTTAAAGCGCGTAACGCAGAGATTTTATTGCTCGACCGTTTTATATCAAAATTATCATTGTTGTTATATTCGTCGATATTACGCGGGAATTTTGACGCAGCGTTCGTAAATAACGCCGACTCGGTGGCTAAAATTTTACCAAACGTGCTGTAATCGGTTTTTTTCCTGGCAAACGCTTTCCGTAAAGACCAGAAAGCAGGCCTACCTGCACCAAGTGGTAACATCTGAAATGGTAATGGTTCGCTCGTTGTGCCGTCCGATGGTCTTCTGAGCTGAATGTACACCTGCACCGGTTGGTCGACTTGAATGCGATTGTTGTACGACGGTGTTCTGAATGCGATTGCTGTCTATAAATAAAAATTTAACTAACATTTAGCTATCCATTTCCTACATACAATATTATGTGTTTAGTTTAAAGGACACGTACTTGTTTATGTACATGAGCAGGCTGAAAATCGCCGAGTCCTTCCCAGCAAAGTTTCCCATCTTTCTCTTCAAAAAATCTCACTTGTATGTCCTCTTTTGCAACCTTTTCACACAGTAAAATCATTTCCATACCACCAGCAACAGAAGCACTGCAGTGACTGAGCTTGCATATTACAAGATCCGACATTGCCTCTGAAATATCGAATATACAGATAAATAATCTCTTAAACAAAAATGAATATAGATTATTGTTGACGAAGCCTTACTTTTATCGTATATAATATCGGATACAACTGGTTTTAATGGTAGGTTAAATTTTGCCTTCTCAGATCCTTCTATGAAAACTTGGAAACATAATCTCACTGCATTTAGATCGATGTTAGAAGGCTGTCTTTTATGATCGAAGCCAGCTATCAAAGAATAACATGTATAATAATTAGCTACATTGTTACTAGTTCTTTGTAGAGTATCTACTGTATTTTTAGCTTACTTCGAAAAGGATCAACGCGAATTTCTTCCCGTATTCTAAGCGCCTCTTCGATGTCTTTTTTTTTAACACACTGAATACCAAGATTTGCAAATGTGACGGTCATATTTTCAGACGAGACTTCTACCGTACAAACACCACGTTTACATGCCTCTTTTCCAACAAGGTTATGAGGGTGAGGTCTGTATGGTTCTTCTTTTGTTACACACGAAACTACAACTATGGCACGGCCTTTGTATCCCACAATCTGCATCAAACGTTACTTGGTTACATATAAAATTAATTTTCTAGCAGTGTTTTTTTTTTTTAGTACTCACTCTTATACTAGGAAACGTTTTGTTTTCTGGTGTACTGTTCGCACCAGGTATACTACCAGCTGATCTGCCTTCGCACTCATAGCGAAAGCGTAAAGCCTTGCTTGCCGGCTGTTCAATTATCTCGATATATGGCAATAGACGTCTAGCGTTCATCTCCACCAATGGGTGATCCTCCCTTCCACTAGACTCCGCAAATCCAGGATCGGTGGTTTCAATGACTTCAACTATTTGGTAAAATTATTATAAAATATAAGGTAAAAATTTGCATGGTAAAATAAGAAAACCAGCAGTACTCACTGACATCACTTATATTTATATTTCCATCACTCATACCATGGAATTGTTCCATGCCTATTAGTGGTATGCACATTGGACGATGCCCATCTGAAAAATAATTTTTCTCTCGATATACATTCTTAATAAACATTTTTCAAGCACTTGGCTAATTGTGTTTCATTCTATGACACGTGCTATAAATAAGAATAACTCGTATAAATAAGAAATCTTAACTTTCAATTCGAGTAGTTTGTGAGAAATTTGTAGATTTTATACAAACAATGCTTTCTCTATAAATACTCTACGACACGCGTTTCGAACAAATTCATCGAATAAAATCGAATACACGCATTTCTCAGAAACGTTATCTCCGAGCACTTTCCCAAATGTGCTTTGACGCATTTAACATATTATTCCTAGTGTCCTAACCGATGTCCCGCGTTCCAAACTCCTTTATCAAAGGAGAAAAACCAACTGTACACGCTTTCTAGAAATGCTATCTGATGGAATCATGTAAAAAGAGTTTGCCGCGCGCGTTTTTATCAAAACGGACGCAGACACAAAACGTAGTCTAATAGATCGATGGATATCTATATGTATACCTAAAACAAGACGAAACGATCGTTGGAAGGGAAAAATTGGTCTTTTGGTCGATTTATTCGTTACGGATAAAACTGTGTATCCAACATTTTGGTGGAAAATCTGTTTATGTCGCAATACAGGGCGACGATTGACGCAAATCGAGTTGAACGTAATTTTTCGATTAGCACCGGTACGCGAGATCCAATGTGGTTACTTAACGAACATCCACGGAACTATTAGCCAGCGAAAACGACAGCTGTTTTCACAGGTATATGTATAAGTATACTTCCAGAAGCACTTGGAAGCACTGCGGCACAAGTGTCCCAAAGGGAAGAGAAACGAAGAGAGAAAGATAGAAAGATAGAAAGAGAGAAAGAGAGCAGAGGACAGAAGACAAGGAGGCATGCATACGCTTTACGCTGATCCAATCATTATTTTGGGAGAGCCTAGGTCTGTACAAGCCGTGCAGCTATAATTAAACTATCGTAGGACAATGTGACGAGAAAGACTTGCCTGCAGCTCGATCGTCATAGCAAGGCGTTTTCTTCGATTCTTTAGAAAAGTACGCCTCGCGATCAGTTCCCTTATCAGGGCTATCACTAAGTTCCTGTAATACGTATCTTTGAAACCAAATAATCTGCAAAGTCACAAACTGTATCGAGTCTTTGAGTGAAAGTTGAGTGTTGAATTGATGCGATTGTCGTTAAGCACCGTACGATTTGCACGCGACACAAAAGCGTGTGCACTGGCACGACCGTAACTAAATAGATACGACTACGAGACTCGAACAGCTCAGACCAGCTCAGACACGACACCACACATTTCCCCCGGCGAACTTTGCATCAGTACTATCATGTTCTCTCGCTTCAAGTTTCGGACGAGGTAGCAGAATGTTTCGACTTGGAACGATATGTGTACATATGCTCGTTGGATACTGTTGGATACTGTTGGATACTGTTGGATACTGTTGGATACGTCGGCGCCGGCGTCGAGTCCGCCCACAGTCGCGCACAGTCAAGTCGCGCACTCTCCACGCAAGCCCAACTTGTCACGGTCGTAGTTTCAACGAGCAAACCGCGTAATCACTCCACCTCCTTACATGCATCTAATACATAAGCTATACAAATTCATTCTGTATCGTCAGATTCAATCATTTATTATTTAATTTTTGTCCAACTTCAATTGTAGTCGAATAATATTTTCAAAGTTTTTATACCGTAAGAGGCAACCTCATGAAAACTATCATTTCCACAGACTCTGTGTAGATAATGACAAAGTAAATGAATACATTTCAAATATACACTGAATAATCAAACAAATAATGAATGTTTTATAATTTGTTGGCAAAGTATTTTTAGCCCTTTGCACCAGGAGCCATCTCGCTGGAAAATGCGCAAACATGGCGTCACATCATATCAAACATCGTAATTTTCGAAAGAAGATATTAAATATTATATATTTAAGGAAATACTTTATTGTATTTAAAATATGATAAAAGTTGAGGTTTATCGAACGCTTCGCCATGCGAACCGAGTCAATCGTTTTTAGATCTACTCGTTATATAAGTTTTAATCGTTTCTCGCATCCATTGTCGTAGGTGCAAGTATTTGATTGATGCAATTCCAGGAAGCAGAACGTTCGGTTCGGGGCACATAGTCGTGCGACAGTTTGCATGTCCGTTAGAAATAATTGAATTTATCGAACGGGCATCGCAAGGTTGTTGACGGGAAACGTACATACGTACATGTATACATACACGTATCTATGCATACATCATACATGTATGTACGGAAATGTGAGTGTTCTAACTTTGAACTTGTAAGTAAGGTAGCATATAACCCGGAAAGAGGCAATTGGAGGCTATCATGTCTGAAAACATGATAATGTAGAGATTCTGCTGAGAATGTAGAAAATGGTAGAATAAAAGATTTGTCCACGTGTCAACAAAAATTTTACGAGAGTGAGTAATTTTCCACAGATGGCGCATCGAATGCCGCAACAATATAATTATCGATATAAAGACTGACTAGCACATGAGATGAGATGCACTATTTAATAAAAAACAATATTACAAACGGTCTGCGTAACTTGTGTAGCAGAGATATATGTATGTAGTACAAGTATACGTATGTAGTAGAGCTGCAGATATGTATGTATCTATCGGTGTGTATGTGTAGTGTGTACGATTCGCAGCAGGAGACGTACGTGAAAGAGCGATTTGTTTTTGTTGTGCTGGGTACCGCAGTTGGTTTCGTTTCCATGACGAGGTCAAATAAACGTTTATCGCTTTTATGAAGAGCGTTTACTCGAGAATGCCGCAAGCGATGGCAGAAACTGCGATTTCGCCGAAAAGTCAATGTTCGAGAGACATCTCGATCTACAAGGAACAGTCCTGCCGGTTTTCCGTGGAAAAGAGGCTGGCACGATGCGTTCGACGTAAATTTCAAACATATTCCCAGCTTCCTGTACGATGTCACAGACCCAGCCCCTATTATCGTCCTCCGAGGACCTCCCTCAGCTTGGCTGGACTCGGGAATATTAATTATACAGCTTCCATAAACACTGGGAAAAGTTGTCCAGAGAATGGCTCGATGTTTCACGTGATCGGCACGCCTCCCTGCAAGAAGAGTTTATCCTTGATCGATCTCTCGCAGTCGGCAATGGAGCCGGAAAACCTCGGTGACCTTAGGTAAATAGGTTCTGTTTCACTAACCATCAATTCATTACGTAATCATATTTCGTAATATTTTGTTTTCTATAGATACATTTGCCATATAAAATGAACAGTTTATTTATGATGAAATATCTCGTTCAGCCCCTGTACTGACTCGAGAATCGCGCAGGAAAATCTGTCCACATCTAAGATAGACCATATTACCGACAGAGAAATCTTCGCCAATACGAATATATCTATCCCAACAATCACATAATCCTAAAATCAATGTTTACCTATAAACTCGGTTACAATTTTCTGACAATGTTAATTTCATCATTTTTCATGATAATTTGATCATGTTTATTTGAAAACTGACCACAGTCTTTCGTTCGTTCAGATCTGACATTAGTTTATCGTTGGAGAAGCTCGAGGATGGCAACAAAGTTTACGCGGGAAACGACTCCCCGATTGGCGTGGGTGTCAAGACCTGGATAGAGAGTTGCGCGAGTCCGTCGTGGGAGTCCGAAGAGGGGGGCTCCCAGTTATTTCAAAATCCAAGAAAAGCAGCAAATCTGGTGTTCCACGTGCTCGTGTTGAACGCCTGGAGACGCAGACGCGAGGAAGTGGTCTTCCTTCGCGACACGATCGACGATCTAAGCAAGCAGATCAAACACCTCCATCTGCAGGTCGTCGTGCTGCGTCGGTTGATCGACACGGAGAACAATCGTGTCGGTAAACTGACTCACGAGGTTCACCATGTTAAGGGCCAACTGGAAGACACCAAGAAGGAAAGGGACTTGTTGAAATTGGTAAGCGCCGCAACGTTCTGTACAGTTGCACAGTCTGCTTAAAAATATCTTAACAAATATGTAGAATTGTGTCTTAATTCAATGCCATGCATATATTCTTATTCATTCCATGGGACAAACCGCCCAATCTCTCGAGGGACGAATTTCAAATGAATTTCTTTGCCACTAACAACGCTGTTGTTCAAATACAAACGTATCGTTTCACTTTCATATGGTATACGTTTTAATTCTAAAAGGTGTTGCTATTTTAAGTAATAGTAACTTTAACGTAAAACGCAAAACGTGTTAATGACCACGATCCTGAAGAGATAATGAAACGAATGAATAAACGGAAGCAAATCGTTAATTACTCGTGTTATGAAATGGTAACGCGACAACAGACTACTAAATGCCAGCCTACATACATATACGTGGCTACATATAGCGTTTTCTGGCCGGCGAACACGAGAGTTCAATGACGCGAGAGATCTATCTAGAGGGATGACGATAGCGTAAGAGCTCGCGACTCATGTTTTGGGGCTATACGATAACTCGCTCGTCGAAACAATGGAATTTTTCGAATCGCGTTCCACGGATTACTCGACGACAGGCCTCGGACAATTTTCTCGCTACATCTCACAATCTGTATTCCTCCCACGCACAGCAATCTCATTATTTCACTTTTTTTCCCCAAGCACCATTTCAACACTCTGTCGTTTCATCAGCAACTTTGTCTTAATGTAAATCTATTCGAGCATAAAGCGTTAAAATTGTTGCTACAACGACCGAATTGTCTGAAAGAGCTTTCGTTGATTGCTCGATATACTACAACTACACCAAAGTGCGTCGCGTTACCGAGGCGTTAATTAGTATGCGCGCGAACACGCATACGCGAAACTGGCACGCGTCCAATGGCTAATTGTGAAACGAAAGAAGAAACCCGTATCGTATCGCGACAACCGTTGGTCGAAATAAATGAAACTGGGAATCTCGTTTTAGATACTTTTCGCTCTTTACATAGAAGCCATATAGGTGTGTAGTTTTTTTTTTATTAATATAGCTAGGATTCGGTTGTAGGAAAAGGACAAACTAACGGAGGAGCGAGATCACCTGAGCGAGATCTCTGAAGAAAGACTAGTCACAGCGGGAAACGTGCGCAACGAGCTGATAACTGCTCAAAGTCAGGTCCAGGCACTCGACGAGCAAATCTCGAGGGATCGAAAGAAGCTGCTCAAGCTACGAGAAGATAAAAGAATACTTCTAGACAAGGCTAGCATTCGTTGAACGTGTAGATAATTCAGAGACTTTCTATCGATATTTCTGTTGGAGATGTTGACATGTACAGGATGTCCTATATGTATAAAATGTATGATTTAGAGTACCAAAGCGATGGGAATTGTTGCAATGTCTCGTGCAATACTGCGTTCGAATAGTTGACAAACATTCTAGTAATGTTATTGAAGCGATCATGACTTCAGATTATCTATTAATCCCTATAATCGCGAGATTCCATCCTGCAGCGGCTGCGGGAATTTATTCCACAGGATGACTCGTTGTTGTGCTCGTTGGAGACGAGTCTGCAAACAGGGTGAACCTCGATGCGGATTTCTATTGCCTTCTATGTATGAAACAGTGAGTCATCCTTCGCCCTTCTCGAGTTCCAGAGCAACGACCATCTCCAAAACCAGGATATTTCTAACATTTCTAATTCGGGCTAACCTATCTCCCTATTGTCCCTCTGAACTCTTCAACCTAAAAGGGTTAAAATATTCCTTCGATTAAGATTTCGTTTTCCATTTTATTCCACGGCTGCCTATACACCAAGGCTATCGATTAGAACTTGATGCACTTGCCACGCGCACCAGGTAGGTCAACGTACCAAAGGTTGCAGTGCACGGTTGTTGAGTCACGTCTTTCCTGCTTCATCGGTGACTCGATAACGTGCAATATTCCTTCCGTACCGAGAAAAAGGATCGATACTGCTCGACCTATTAACTTTCGTTTGTCGTGGAACGGTCACGAAGATTGCTATAACGTTCAAGTGTTCACGCGAACACGTGCTGTACATCTTGATGGAACTATGAAATATCGATCGCTGGGTTTCTGTAAATTATACTCTACGCAGACTATACTTTTGTGTACAATTTTAAAACGCAATTACGCTCTTAGTTGACAGCCAGCGAGGTTTTAGCCAAGGAACAGGAGACGAGAGCTGACAAAGCAGACTCTGCTGTGGAGGATTTGCAGTTGAGGCTCGCCAAGCAGATTACTCTTGTCGAGACCACGCAGCAACAGCTGCAACAATATATCGAGTAAGTGAATTGTAAGAACACTTAGAAAAAGCAACCGTTACAAGCCAAGTTTATCAACACTTTAATAAATACTTTTTTCTTGAAACTTTATGTCACGTAAACCTAACTCAATTTCTAAACATAAGAAGAGGTCGAGGTGTCTGACTAATTTGGTGTCCTAAAAGCATATCTGTTATTCACAGAGAGCTGAAAGTCAAAGAAGGGGAGAAATCCACATTGGAGAAACGCTTGAGGTTTACCGAGGAAACGGGAAAGTCCCTACATTTGCGCACAGTCTTCCTGGAAGCGCAGCTCTCTGACCGTGAAGCAACCTTGCGGCGTACAGAGGAAGCTTGTCATTCGCAGTTGTACGTTTGTTTTTAAATAACTGCCCTACAAGTGGTACAGTAGATGTTTCTATTATTACGATTGACATTAATGTTTCAGACAGGAATTGAACGAGCTAAGAGATCGTTTCATACGGCAATCTCAAGATAGCTGGTGGAGCAGTAGGATGTTGCAGATCGCTGGGAGCGTCGTTCGCGTGCCTGGGGCCATTCTGAGGACTTTGTTGTCGACTACGGGCCCAGCACTAACTTCTTAAAGTAATAATATACATATACATGTACATAGTTATTACCTATCGATGTATATAGATACCTTTGATAATTTAGATGCACTGTTGCAATACAACTGCGCGTCAGGTGTTAAAGTTATCTTTGAAATGAAGAATCTTTGTTATCGTTTGAGAAGTGGAACTTCGAGGTCGATGACGATGGTTGCATCGAGGATGTAAGACACGAGTCAAGGAGTTGGTCTCGCGTGATTGTGAGCAGTAACGTCCTAGAGGACTGGACAGTTTCGAGACATTCGTAAATTTACAGGCATTCTATAACCTCCAAATTATAATCCCTTTTATTTTTATATATTTTTTTTTTACTCCATATACTTGTTAATACGTGAGATTTTGTGATAAGCATATAGTAGTCGGAAAAACTAGACAAATGAGTATTTAACGATACCGTGTATAACGATGAAACACTAAAACTATCTAACACGATTTCCCTGGGGATGGATGAAATAAATATAGATATCGTTTGCATTTTTTAATCTATATTTTACACTTTTTTGTCGCGTAACATGATAAACTGACAAAAATAAGGTACCGTCAGCATTCCTATGATATAATCCAATCACCGATTGCGATTCGTTAACGTTATAAAGCGAATAACAAATACATTTGCATAATCGATAGATATGTATATATATATATATATACACATACATATCCACACAGAATCGTGGTTACAGCGTGTTATGCACAAGGTCTACCGTATACTACATATATCTATATAGATTAAACGAACACAAACTACAGAATACGCAACAGAGAACGATATGCTCACGGTATATTATTTTTCTCAAAACACATTACGGATAGACCTTTACGATTAAATCTAAGTATAACCCACGTACGAGTGACACAAATACGACGTGTCTGATCACATTTCTCATTATTGTGTACTTAAGTACCAGATAAAATAATGATTTTTCATTTTCGTTTGTCAATAATATGTCGTCGTCGTCGTCGTCGTCGTCGTCGTCGTCGTCGTCGTCGTCCTTGTCCTTGCGGTGTGATGCCTCTCGTAATACTTGGCCGTTACAGTATGGGCTCTCTTTCTCACAAGATTTTAAATTTCAATGGAAGATTCGTTTATTTGTTATCACAAAATTGTTTCGTGCTCGAGCGCATCGTTAGGTGTGTAGCAACTCTCTCGTAGCTAGTCGACCTATATCCTTCGTCGCGAACGTTAATTTGCGAGAACGAATAAGGGTTGCTTTACTATACTCGATACTCGAGAAGAAACTCTGTCTCGACAACTGTAACGAAAAATTAAAGGGAGAAAACAGAAAAACAACTCAGTGCCGGTTAATTCAGGGTATCATTGAGTATCACACTACGTATACGCACTAATTAACAAATCTCGAGAACGATATTACGTCTACAGAGAAGCCTAAAGCTATCGTCCTTCGTTTTTGGTTCGTATTACATATTGCACGAGTATTTCTTTTAGTATGTAATTAATTACATCCTTGAGTATTTATGTTACTCCCTGGTATTAGCTTCATAGCGCGACGATTCATGAATACTTCCGAGTACGAATGAGAAGAGTTGTAACAATTCTCTCACAAGAGCATCGCGGAATAAAGTAAATGGAGGTATTGTTTAATAAGACTAATACTTTCGAATTCGATTTTTTCTAAACGAAAGGAAATCTATTAGACTACACCCCTATTTAGTTTATTCTTCCTTTGTACGAGTGAAGAGTTACCAAGCTTCACAACGAATATGCTATCCTCGTCTAATTTAGCGACTACAAAAAAAGAAAAAAAGAAAAAAAAAGAAAAAAAAAAGAAAAAAAAAAGAAATAAATTGCACGGACCTGCGTCAGTGAACCACGAATCTCGTGGCTCGAGGAACGCCCTCGTCTCTACCGTTCGTGTGTAATAAAATTGACAATACTTTAAACTACAACAAACATTCGATACGATCAACTGAGCAATGCAGATGTTCCGTTAAAATTGCTCTTCCGTATCGTTGTTATAAAAAGGTCGCCACGAGCCAGTAAAAATACCAATATATCGTCGTGTTTGTATCCTGAAGGATTGTGGATTGTTCATTGATAGTCTCTCAGCGAAACGCAAAAGGGATAATTTTCAAATATGACGGCGGTTCGCGTATAAAAATGTGCGATCGAGTGTCGTTTCTTTTTCCGCGAAAGGGGGGATTGAACTATGTTACTAAGACGGGCGAAAATCGATAAATAAATAGCGGTTCGATAACCATAATGATCGGTTAAGACTAGAAACGATTGGATGTTGAATCTCTTCTTCTTAAATCATACCGAAACCCTCGGTACCCTCGCTGATCGCTAGCAGTAATGCTCGTTCGAAGTGATCGTAACACTCGTAATCGGGTAAGCAGAGTTGATTGAAGCTGCAAAGGACAAACAAGAAAAGATAATTATCGTGGATCGAGTAACGATGTTAGTCGAGCAATTAAAGTATCGGATCGTACCAAGTGTGCGCTGTAGGCAAGTTAGCAAAAGTCGGTGCAGCTGTAATTTGAAATCGTGGACTCAGCTGTTGAAATCCACCGGGTGGTAATTGGGAGCAACCAGTGGTGAATTGTAGTAATCGGGCCATTTCCTCCTGAGTGAAGTTACTAACCGCGGTCCAAAACCAGTCCAGAACACGAAGGAACTCTGGGGAACTTCCGTTAGCTATGTGATGGGCGCGTAGATCTGCCACACTGTATTCTCCGGTTCCACACAACAGTAGCTGGAAAGAGATTCAGATGTGTAAATACCAGCAGACCTTTTACAATTGAAAAGCGTATAAAGTGTCGGTACTTCGAGTTCGTTCTCGTCGAATATGCCTAAAAGATTGTCAGGAATGAGCTCGTTCAGGCCGCGCAGAAAGTGCTCCACCTCGTTCCTGATGGAACTGGCGAGCCTGTGTTGCGCGAGCGCATCCAAATAACGTAATTTCGTGTCGTTGGTTACACGAACCTTGCTCCCTCCAGGAATCAGCTCGGCTACCTGTAACCATAAAGGGACAAACAAAGGGCTAGGTTCGGCCCCAACGGAACATCCAGACGTACCTTTAATAATTGACCGTCTTTATCGTACTCCTCCTCGACAAAATACAGTTCCATTTCCTCCACGTCGTTCTCAAGAATATATTTTATTTTGCTCAGATACAAATCGGGGTCGTCCTGCTCGAAATACTGCTCGCGGTCAATGAAATCGAGAAACAGCAGATTAAAATTTACGTTGAACGCGATACAGAGCAGCGTCTCCTCAACTATATAATCGCTTAAACATTAATTCAATGAATATATAATTTAGTCTGCATAGTTTGGAAGACGCTGATTCAGTTTATAGAAACTGTTGTACCTTGTAATGCACTCGGAGGCCGATGATTTGGGCAAGGAAGGATCTGGTGAACCTTGCGCGCACTAATTGTCGATAGGAACCGCCTAGAGCGGATTCGTAAAGGCATTTGCCGACTATGCGACCCGCAAACTCGTAATGTTTCAACTTGAGATGCGTAGGCCGTTTGTTGTTAGGATGTACCAAGGCCTGTGGTGATTCTCCGAAACACGCAAACAACCCGTTACCAGGGTCGAACAACGAGGCGCAAATCAATTCGAACCATTCTCGTCTCACGCCCCCCCAATCGACACCTAAATACATTTACCTGATTAAGTTAGATTAGAATACTTTCGATCTACAATGATACATGAGATCTATCTGGCTTCTGGAACTGCACATTAAACTCTATTAAATTGATATTATTTGATGGAATTGTGTTTTGTTTTGTTTCTTCGGTTTTTCTTTTTTTCTTTTTTTCTTTTTTTCTTTTTTTCTTTTTCCAATTGCGCACGGTTATATAACAATACGTAGAAAGACTCTGGTACCTTGTTCGCCTTGGAAGGTGATCTCGAAATTTCTACACCAGTCGCTCACAGAAAATCCTTTCGTGGTTTTCATAGACTTGAGAACAGAAAAATAATGCAACGTAAATATATTAGGATCCAACGTGTGTTTGCTAAGCCAACATTGACTTTTGTTTTTCTCTAATTTACCGATTCCAGAAGTTTGTCCCGTTGCACTTTCATCGATAGCTTTTCGTGGTAATGCTTCTGATGATGCTTTCGCACCTCGTGATAAAAGAAATCCTGCTTGTCTGCGAATGTTTCGCTTCCACCTATGTTTTTCAAAAGAAACAACGTAAATGTAGCGGCTATTATGTCCCGATAGAGAGAGATTAATTCAACGGGCGGCTGACATCCATCATCGATAGAAAATGAGTCGTAACCGTCGTACTGATTATTCGAACAATCAAAATGGAACTGAAAGACAGATCGTTTATTGTTATTGCAGCTCAACGGCGACGGAACTTGAAGCGTAGAAGGGCAAAATTCTTATTTACATAGAGATGTTGGTTGATGCGCAACCACATAGCTGTACAGGAAAAAGATAAACGTTGTATAAAAACTGTTAAACTCGACAAGTGTTTGGCGTTTGAAATTTTGCCCATCTCTGCATTCAAACAGATCGCACGAGCTCGTCGAGCTTACCTTGGTCGAGGGACAAAGCCTGAAAGTAACGAGTCTTTTGGGTATAATTCTCAGTAGATACTCTTTGATCGTAAGCTGCTTAGGCGAAATGAAGCAGAAAACTTTCTTCGGCTTCGAGAACTTTTCGCCCTGCATACCCAACAATTTCGCAGCGTAACAAATGTCTGGGTCCTTCGAGGCCACGTTACTGTGTACCATTCTCGCAACATCACCTATGCCAATCGTAAGAATCGAACGTGGAATGAAAATAGAGTTGGGAATTTATGAAAAATAGAGATTGATAATAACGTAGAATAGGGGAGGAGCACGTACTCTCGAGTACAATGATGTCGAAATCACCGTTGTGCAACTGGAGCCCAGCTAAACTAACCGTCGCGTGGTAGCAGCCGCCCTTGGGGAAGCTGACCTTCAAACGAACTCTCTGATTCGGTGAGTCGTAGTCCAGCTGTATGCTACAATTGGTGACTGCAGATTTATCCGACGCGCTACCGATCTGCATTCGAAAGGAATCGATAAAGGACCGAGGTGCAACGATAAAAGGAGGTTCTCTTAATGTAATGTAAATGTAATACAAGTAAAAATTGCCACGGACTCGTAGACAATCCGATAGAAACGAAAAGTTAGACCGTCATCACGCCGACGCCGAGAAACGCTCCGGCCAAGATTCTCTCTAGTTTGAAACAACCCTGATACCAATTCTCCAATTCCCTGCTTGCCTGATTAATGTTAACTTGATAGCCTTCCGTGGGTTTGTCAGCAGGCCCAAAGACACACAGATTGTCGTACTCGTCCCTAGGCTCTATCGTCATGCTGTGCGCGATCCCAGCTGTGCAAACGACCGTGGAGCTCTGTCGCACGAAGACGGTCTTGTTCGGATCCGGGGGACCTGCGATAAATGAAACACGGCCGTAGGATGTCCGGCTTTGTCGCGATTAGACATGTTGTCGCGAACACGTACCAGGAAGGAAGTTCTTTAAAAACGGGCTGCCGTGAACATGACACGAACCGATAAGCACGGCTATCCGATATTGTCCAGCGTGGCGTACCGTGAACTTGACCACCGCGGTGTTTGCAGCCAGAGGATCGGTTCCACCCAATTCAATCAGGGTGGCTACTCTACGCGAACCCTCTGTCACCTCGATTATCAAGTTGTCCTTGTCGCAGATAGGGTAGGGCTGGCCGTTGCGCTGATAAAACTGTTGGTAAAACCGCGTAGAAATATTCCGTGGAAAAAGGTAAAGTTCAAAGTTTGAATAATAAAGAAAAATGGTACCTTGACGGTGAACGTCATTGTTTCCCCAACGAGCTGTGGCTCGTCCCATTCAAAGTGAACGCGGCAATTGCTCGGTAGTAAATACTTTCCAGTCACGTATTGGAGAAGGGAATGTTTTGCTTCTGGTGCTAGAGCGGGCTGCGTCATAGCAGCCAGGGTCACTAACCCTGCCACCGACACGGAAACTACCAGCATTCCACCTGACGGGACATAGCACGAAGAAACTATCACTCCTATAGTCCTAACTCGAAGGCTCTCGATTAATAGGCAGGCGTGTCCCTCCCGTGTTAACGATCCAGTCAACGGAATAGATGACGAATAAATTTGATGGAAAAGTTACCCCATGTCCAAGCGTCTTGGTGCTGGCTGTTTTTTACAACGGCGCTCCACAGATCGGCCTTGAGGGTTTCTAAATCTTCCTTCGAAGTGGGCAACGTCTGTCTGGCCTGGGTCCATCGTTGAAGATCCTTGCCAAGTGCTGCCCGTGCCGCATTATCCTCCATCCAGTACACGTCCTCCAGAGACATCACTTCCATCTGCATCAGCCTGACGAAACAAACGCAGATCCACCTTTACTAGCAAAAGGACGGTTACTTGTCGTTTATAACCTGTTCGTAGCCTCTATGCTTATCAAAGAAATTTGTCCAAATTAAATGATACCTTTCACGTTTCCATATCAATTTTTTATTATAAATATCCTGTATAGCTGTACATGCAAGTTCCAAGTTTATTCATGTACATATTCGCAATGAAAGATTTCATTGGAAAATGTTGTGCATACCATTTAATGTCGACAAATGTGTCGAATAGATATTAGATATATGTAGAGGGGGTACGAATAGTTATGGGAGCGACCGTATGTCATTGTTTAGATTTACTTTTGGTAATAGCTGTGCAGGCCATGGTCTATCAGCCACTGGCGTAAAACGAGCCTCTGTTGCAGCAAACGTGCGGCGCGTTGTAAACGTTCCTCGTCCTGCGCTGGCAGTTCCGGTAACGCCTCGACCTCGCCGCAGCTCGCGAGGGTAGAGATGCCTGAAAAATTACAGTTCTTTTTCATTCTTCAACTGTAACAATGCGCACGCTTCAACGAGACAATCTGCTACTATTACACATATTCTATCATAAGGAAAACAAGTTGATTTTCCTCCAATTTCAAATTAGCAGATCCTCCCTTTGAACGGCGTCGACATTGAGAGACTGAGATAAATTTAGTTATCATTTTTTTTCTAATTAATTTGCTGTTAGAAATGGAGCGATAGGCCGGTGGGGTAGAGTGTGTGTGTGTGTGTGTGTGTGGGTGGGAGGGTATCTGTCGCAGAAAACGGAAAGCGTATTGCAGATAAATCCCGAATCTTGGCGTCCGCTTTCGCTGCCTCGTCATTCGTGACGAACCGTTGCGTCGCGTCGGCGTCGGTGTCGGCGTCAGCGTCGCCTCGAGAACTCCACACGCCATTCAGAACTCAGAATGCGCTATACGTCGTTTCTCCTGCTGTGCATTTCCGAGTGCATCGGTGCTGTGCTCGCGATATGCACCGTGACCAAACACGAACGAGGTGAGGTGAATTTTTGTCAAATTTGTCTACTGGTCTACTGCAACCGAGGCTAGACTCGAGTAGTGTGCGTGTTTAAGGGTACAGCCGACCACGAGAAAAGTATCTTTAAATCTAGTTCAACTTGCGCAACGTCGACTAAATAAATTAAACAAACTGCTCGCCGCGATAGAGTATAATCGGTAGATGCATAAAACCTCCAATCTACCCGTAAACCCCTATTTCATTTCTGTACAGGGCTTGGCGATCGCATCCAGTGCTCCAACGTCACCCTGGAGACGGTTCTAAAGCAAACATCAACCGACGCGTCCGTTATAATGATCTTCGACTCCAACATGCGATACGTTCCCGCTCGAGCTTTCGTCAAGTACGAGAGCAGCCTGCAGTCCTTGAACATCCACAAATGCGAAATTCGCGACATTCATGCGAATGGTTTCCAGCGACTGGTTAACTTGAAGAAGCTCAGCCTGCCCAATAACAACATTACGCAAGTAAAGGTGGAATGGTTCAAGGATCTGGTGTATCTGGAGCAGCTAGATCTGTCCTTCAATCGGATCGTCGTACTCGAGCCAGCGATTTTCTCCACGCTACTGCTCCTCAAGCGTCTCGACGTCAGAGAGAATCGTTTGAGTTGCTTGGAGGCTTCAGCGTTGCCAGGAGGCATCGATAAGGTCTACTTATTCGGGAACCCTTTGACTTTCAAGTGCAGAGGAAAGGTAGGAAATGCGCGATTCAGATATGCCCGGACAAAGCCTCCTTCCCAAAACAATACTCGAGATCCAGTCCTGACGATTCGATAGATTTCTCGAGACATTAACTAGCATCCTATTTAGGAGAAGTTTGCATGTTGGAAGATGCAACACTCGTTTCGATCGATACCATTCGAACGCTATTATTTCATTTAGACAAATTACCGAGTACTTGTAGTTGTGTATAACGACTGGCTGTATGTCGATCCAAACTGCTAAAATAACGTTAAAAGTTTCATCTGGTTATTGCGAAAGGGTTTGACAGACGGGATGGAGTTATTAATCGCAATCGTTGGAAACGATATACACCTTTGTATACACCTTTTACGTATCGATTTCTGACCTACAGCTAACTCTGTGGATGCGGGATCATGGCGTGAGCTACAAGAGCCAGCACACCGAGAAGGAGACGTGGTTGGACAAGCTGCTTTGGCACTGCGCCATGGACGACGCGGTCGTCGCCGAATCGGAAAGCCTGATGAAAGAATGCGTTATCCTGAATTTATTCGGTCAGCTTCGAACAGGCCTGACCACTGCGGAATCCTATCCCCTGTCCATAGGGAGACACTGCGGACACAGCAGGTCTCTTTTAAACGATTGCATAGCCGAGGAGGCGGCTCGGAGACATCAGACGTTTACGAATGGATACATGATCAAACAGCTCCTTCTACACTTGCATGCCGCCAAATCAGTCCGTTGAGAAAGCTCCAAATTTCTAATCAACCTTTTTTCTACTTTGCTCGAAATGCTACGGTTCGATTGGCACTTTCTAGAAGCTTGGCCAATTATAAATAAAAGCTTGCATTATTTTATTATCTTATATTCGAACGGAACTTTGTCCAAGAGTCGATAAAACAAGTTGAAATGGTTAATGCCGCGACTTGTCGTTGGCTCAACAAATAGTGCGATACCGAAAAGTATACGTTTAAAAATGTAGAAAATGTTTAAATAAAATGTTCTCCTTTTAATATCGTTGCGTAAAAGCAGTAGTTTAACCGTATGCTTCCGATTAAACGTATCTTTTCGATCCTGGCGCTTCCTTCGTTAGTCCGTATGGATCGCTACTAGTACTAGCTCTACTTGCCGTAGAACGACTTTTATCAGCCGTTCTCATTGTCAGCTGACCGTGCGAAAGCAGCGTCAAGCTTGTTTTTAAAGTAGTTTCACGACGGCTGTGTTTACTTACCGGAAGAAGCGCTACCGCTGGGCCGCAGCGACATGCCAATGGACGATATCTCGTCGGCAAAGAAATCTTTGTCGCGTTGTCCATCCCGACAGCCTCGATTTTTGTCCGGCATAATTCCTCCACGTTTGTGTCCTGGTTCGTCAACTTTTACCGTCTAATCAACCATTCACATTCTTTTCACCGTCTCGTTCATCGCTCCCTCGTCACTTTCGTCTCAATCTTTCGTCCAAACGTCAAGAAATTTAAACCCCCGTACACACGATTCACCTTGATATTTACGAGATTATGAAAGGGACGCCTAACGTCGCGTAACCGATAGATCGCGATCAAAATATTTCAGGCAAAGAGTAACTCGCGAGGAATCTGTAAACTGCGAGTTTTATACATTTACATACGTTGTCACGACAGACGTACAGGATATAGTTGCAACACGTTGTAAATGCTCAAAATTCAAGGCTAGCATTACATCTATAATAGGAAACTGAATACACGCGGCAACAATCGCTGCGTAATTCTGCTCGACTCTGCTGCTACGCGCCAACCGATTGTCAGTCGAGATGAACACAAATATGCGAACAACGAAGGTACTTGCGCCTCTGTTTTTCGTCTCGACAGCCGATGATACTATCGTATATATCAGCCGATGTTACTATCGTATGTATCAGCCGATGTTTTGTTAAAGAGAAAATGAACGTGTCGCGAGACGACAGGGACAAAGATGCAGGTGGTGTTTTACGAGAAGGCGTGCATACGCGTATGTTGTGTATAATACGTGGTCGTGTGTACGAGAGGAAACAAAGGGGAGGTTAGAGCGACGCGAAGCATTAATCACGCTCTCGAAGACGAACAATGGGGAATTGTGGTTGCTAACGAAATTTCATTAATTTCAATTATTGCTCGAGCCCCAGCTGGGGAAACACAGAGCGCGGCGGGGAGAGGTCGCAGGCGAGTACACGGGTCTAAAGATGACCTTGCTCGTTCGCTACGACGAATAGTTACGTCCTTTACGTGTGTTATCTTTTATTGGCATCGGTCGCGGTCGGTTGGTTCCAGAGACTTGCTGTTTTACGTGGCCTCACCTTGGAGTCTCGTCATTTTTACTTTACCCCGTTATATGTACAGTGAGTGCAGCGGGACCAAAAATACAACGTAATGGCCGATAAACACAGCGAGATGACCGATAGTAGTTTAGAGTTGCTAGTTTAGATCCTAATCGCTTCGTACAAGTTGAAACTGTATGCTTTCGGATCAAAGGTCACCTCGACCTCGAGGTTGCAGTCAGCGCGTTATTATATGGATCTATTATCGCGTGTCACTGGTATGTATGCGCAAGACTGTCGATTTATAACAAGCAAGCCTGTCTAGGTTCATAGACCAATAGGTCTTACAATAGGATTATTGTAAAGTGTTAAATAGAGAAAAAATACCACGATAGGGTGGCCCACTTTCGAATTTCAGGAGCTACACGAGGAGCGAATATTTTCAAACATTTTTCACGCAAACCAACAAAGTCAGCTACGCTTTCCGACTTTACGAATATCCAAAGCGAGAACGATCATTCGGCTTTGCGTAGTTTCGCTGTAAACCGGAAACTTTCGACCCGAGGGACTTTCGGTATCGGCAAGTTTGAGAATTAAGCTTATCGAGGCGGGCAAAGCTACAAGAAGGGAGGAGAAAAGTTTCGATAGCGATATTCGCTGTATTAGCTTTGACCTGTGCTGACCCAGATACACGACCCCGGCCGTTTCGGCTGAAGAGATTGATGCCGGTTTTCGACGATTCCCATCCTCGTCTTCGTATCACGGCTCCTTTTGGGCCGTCGATTAACCACACCAATTAAACGCTCACGGATCGATATTCGCGGCTCGACGCCGACGATCTAATCAACGACGCCGATACGCGTTACTATGAATTAAACGTTCCCGAAAGCGGGTCAAGAGTCCACTCGAGGTCGAACCGGGGTTATCGCACTCGTGTTCTCCGCGCTCATCTCGTTTCCCGTGTGCAATTTATCGCCGTGTACCGTCCAACGATATAAAAACCGACCACCACACAGGACGAAACAGAACGTATGGGCCATCGCGAGTTGAAGCTATTAATCGATACCTGCCGCGTTGCGAGCATTTCATCTAGAGATATCTTCATAGATAGAGAAAATAGGGATATTCTAACGCAATAATCTATGCAACGTAAGAATTTCAATTACAATTTCAAATTTCAATTTCAATTTCAATTTCAATTTCAGACCTGTAATTGGTATCTAGTATGTATTCTGGCGTCCAGCGAATCAAGCAAATATCCGGAATAATGGGTGGATATATCGTGGTGGGAAATGTTGCTGACAGTTGGAGATTCGATCCGACCGATACACGTTAGCGGCTTTGTTGCTCGCTTCTCGATAACCGATGTAATCTCGAGTCGTTATCGGTATTTGGGATATCCGGAGACGCGAAGACTATCGACTCGATCGGAGCCGATTACAGATCGAAATCAAGGTGAACAGGAGGTCGAACGATTCGACTAACAAGGAATCAAGCGAAAGATGAAAGGGGATGACGATGCTGAAGGCTGAGAATTAACTGTTGGATACAGTTCGTAGCTTTTATGTCTATCAAAGAAAACTGTCTAAATTGAAGGATATATTGGATATTTTCAAACAAAGTTTATTCATCGACATAATAATAATGAAACATTTATTTGAAAATATTAAACCTTTTCTTGAATCTAAACAGATTTCTTTAATAGACATAGAAGCTACGAATATTTATGGTATAAATACCGTATATGTATTTACCATCTGATAATTGAAGACTAATCTATGAACGATGATTACTAATCGATTCTCTCTGTAACAGTCAATGACCCCCAGGAACCTTACACCTGGACTTTACAGCAGTTGTCGACGAGCTATGACCCGCGCGACCACTAACCCGTCACCTGTGCAAATGGTACCAGACCATTTCTTGTCACAAATGCAATATTCTATAGTTACGTAATCTATTTGATCGTTGCCAAGTAACCAAACGTTCAAGTATAAGAAAGCCACCGTACGAATAGTCACGCGGCTGGATAAAGCGTTAAGATTTTGACACATACAAGGAGCCAATGAACGCGATAGTTAGGAACAGACTCGACCGTATTCGAGGTAAAAAGAAAAGTGACGGATTTCAGCCGCTGCAGGACTTGAGGGATAAGCGTTCCATTAGCGATTCTCGTCCAAGCCCTCGAGGAGACGCTGGAACATTTCAAAGTAAAAAGGAGGATGTTCTCTCTCTCTCTCTCTTTTGGACCTTCCTGTTCGGTTCAGTTTGTTCGTTTTTTGGACAACTGGTGACTACCAACGAGAGAGAAATACGGCATAGCACAATGAAAGAATCAACCGCGAAGCACGGCGACCTCGCGTTGGACTCTTGACCTTTTCGAACGGATATCCTTCACTTGGTGCTAACGATCCTTTCGGTGCCGAGAGAGGCAACGGGGTGGCGAACGAAGAGGTGCAGGAGGCCAGGCAAAACCAGGGCATACGTATGTCATACATTCTCATGATTATGCATGAGAGGGTTGCCGGTATTACCAAGCTGGGACAGATCGATTCCGCGTTTTCCGTGCACGCCTTTGTGTCTAGCCTTGTGCCTGCCGACATATACCTATAACGCGAGGAATTTACAACGTTTCTCCCCTAGGCCAACCGTCTCAACCGTTTCAACCGTTTCGCGTATCGCGCCGGGCTCGTGACAGAATTTTGCTGCAAAACCATACTCGCAGAGCTTTTCTGCTAACATAGAATTCCTCGTCGAAAAGAACGTCAAGTAGTGAAATATGGATCGAAAGACTTGTAGACTCTGTACCCATGTATACAAACATCAAACTTATCATTAAATTCAAAGAAATTTGTTCGATAGATATATCTAGAGGGTAAATTTTAGAGGTACATAGATGTATATTTGAAACCGGCGCGGTGCGGCGGTGGTGATCGCGGTTCCCTCTCGCAAACGGCCAACCAAACAGGAGGTGACCCTGGTGACGCGGTCCGAATGAAAAGAATTTTCGAGGACCCTCCGGGATTAACTCTGCACGGCGACGATGAAAAGACGCGAGACCGTGAACGCGTTTCGCGAAGAATGCCCGATTGTTTTCGGGCTAATTAAAGTCTCAGCGGAAGCCCCGAGGCGAAACCGCGCCATACAGGATGACTCTTGCCAAACTCGCCAATTGTCTTTCGAGTTTCTGGCCCACCGCGTTCGAATAACAATTTTACTTCATCTGCTGTCAAATACACCTACGTTGCGTTGTTTGTTGTAAACTTTAGTAATAAGCGTTCTTACGTGTAAGGGTCGAGTCGAGGGAACACAAACATCTTTATCGAGAGACTTTAGAATTGTACAATATTGGATTATAATATCAAATAGTACTACTTGTAATATCTACCTCGCGAAATCGAAATACCGAATCTTTTGGACGTTCATAATTTATAAACAAACTGTAAACGTCTTGTTCCCGTCTCCGCGAGAATCGAATTTCGTTGCCTAATGTTTGTATCTCGCTGCAAGTTCGAAGCAGGGACCAGGTCGCTGGAAATACACACCCGGAACATCGGGAAATTCGCGCGATTGTGGGATGATTAATGGGCTCGTGTCGCGGTAGAATGTAATTGGTGTGTGTGCGTCGCACGGTCGCGCGAACGATAACGTCGTTGAATTCGAGCTACTTTATAGCGAGCTTGGATTATATTTGCATAATCCCCGAAACCATGAAATAATCCTGCAAGATTTATATATATACGTGTATATTTCTTTTTTTCAAGGAATATACTGGACGTAATCGATAGTAGCGCGATTCCAGAATGCACAGCGAAGAACCGTTGACGAGTACAAGGGATGGTTATCAACAAGTGTCGTGTTTCCTCTGCTCGAGACATAATAGATCGTTGGTGATTAATTCTATCTACTGGGTTGGAAATTTGCCCTAGTGCTTTATGGAAATTTGGCAATTGTACATTTTTTCTTTACAATAAACAAATCGATCGAAAACAGGCTGTAGATCCGCTGTCGATCGATCCCTGCAGTCGATCCACACGAGTTCTCGTCGAGAGCGACGGATACACGGCCGAATCTTCGTCTCCGAATCGGATTTAATTAGCAATTCTCTGTAGTGTGTAATCAAGGGCAGCGAAATGGTTTCCAATCGTTTCAATTTTATCCCATCCCAGTGAGGCTTTCCGCGCGCGCGATTTCGTCCACGTTTCCCTATAGCTAGAGACCGTTATTGGTGATGAACGCGTTAGCAGGAATTAACGTGGGCTCGGTAATTCTTTCGACATTGGACTCGTTCGCGCAACGATAATTAAATATCGAGGAAATCTTGGCTTGCGCGTTTCGTAAAATCAAACTTCTCGTGGTCGGACGAGGCTGGCTATTTACTTCAGAGGGCTAGTCTTTGTATGTAGTTTCGGGGGGCTCTTGAACGAATCGTCCGAGACGCGGTAGTAGGCTTCTTTTCGTTAGTTTGTTTCGATATTATCGACAGCTCGAGTACTTGGGCTATTTAGAAAGAGTGCGTTTAGCAGACAAAAATCAACTCGAGCCAGAGATTTGGCTCGACAACATTTTTCCTAGAACGAAAGGTTAAGGCCAGCCACAGGAGGATCGATACTTTTCCCTCGAACAGCGTTCGCGCGCGTTACCACTTACACGCAACATCTACTTCCGGGAAATCGATTTCCCGTCGCGTGGTATCGACACGCGTACCGATCGATGCGTACATATTTACCAAATGACCGAGAAAGTACGTTGTCTCGCGTTCGAAACGTTATCGCTATCGTTTCGTCTCACGCGATACCTTGAATGATTCACAACGAGCTTGCGCCGTCGTTTGCGTTTCGAGCTCGTTCTGAAATCCTTCGTCGAGGAGTTGGATCGCTTTGACGTTTGACAGCCTGAAAAATCGCCTACCTTTTCTCCATCTACGATACTTGTTGGAGCTTTAGTCGAAACCGTCGAAACATTACGTAAATCTTAATCGAGATAACGTACTATTATATCGTAAAGTACAAAAACTCTTTCCTTTTTGTTTGCATATGTACGATCCAAGTTTTACGACTATGTACACGCGCCGAGAACCGAAGAAAGAAGCACATGCATTTCTAGTTGGAAGGTTGTCGTTGATATTCTCGGGAGTAAAAGTCGTCGCCAGATCGCCTGGAGCACTGCGAATGCATCCTATCCTGCATTGCGGCACTTTAACGCGAGTCTCGGATCGTCGGCCGGTCGGATGCGAGGAAAAAGTTTTCACGGTAACGCGTTTTATCTTTTATCGAATCGACGTCGAGGTCGAGACGCTACCACCAGACCTCCGGATCGCATCGTATGGCTGGTTTTCAGTTATTTTATTTTATTTACTCTGGTCCCTTCCACTAACAATAAGCTTCCACCCCCACCCCCAGTTGTATCATACAGCGTTCGTTACCTTTCTACGTACAATACTTTGACTATTTCTATACAGTATCTAACGATATTAATTAAAAGCAACGTGTTCCCGTTCCGATACGTTCACTTTGGCGTTAATTGTCGCGGTAGTTGCTCGAGAGATCGAAAGAATCTAAATCTCTTTCGTCTCGAGCATCGTTGGCATCGCAACTTGTTAGACATTTATCCAGTCGTAATGAAATATTACATGGTTCAACGAGCGCTAGAATCTTCCAAGTTGAGAAAGTTGGCGGGACCTCGGTGACGTCAACGTCTTCTTTTCTACGCGACTCGTTCTGTGACCTTTCCTCTCCGCGAAAGTAGCAAGTTCAGCGCTGATGGCGAAACTCGCTGGGCATCCCGACAATCAGACATCGAGTACAGTTTAGAAATTCAAATAGAACCGACGCCGAACGAACCCGAACCCCCGAACCCCTGCAGAAGCTCCTCTCGAGACGAGCCCTCAGACCGTGTTACTTCCCTCTTGGGGAACTTGAACTGCATAGTTAAACTTTTGGCTCGATCGAGTGATTTCGTTCCATGGGGTGCATCGTGAATCAACGATCAGCGGTTTCCAAGGAAATCGATGCTCGCGTTGGATTACACGTTTTAGTTTAATTAGCCATTCCGAGGGTTGAGAATAATGCGTAGTGAGTCAGTGATACGGCAGAATCTCATCAAAGTTACGGAGGGCTAGAAAATCCTGGACTCAGCTATGGGGCTCAACTACAATATCCGAGGCTATCGTTTTCTTTATATCGTATATATATACGAGCTTTTACTGTACTAGCAAAATTGTTGCGAGAGCGTTCGAGGATTCTCGTGACGGTCAGTAATTAAAAAGTCAAGTTCGCGTGCGAGGACGAGCAGATTTTCAAAGCGATGCGAAATTATATGTATGTACAGCTATACGTTATCGTGACAACCGATGGTATAGTGATCGTAAACTATTATCAACGAATGTACACCTTCGATAAACCGATCCACCAAGGTTTACACGTTCGCAGTATCGATGCAAACATAACGAATCCGAGTGGAGACCTCAGAGGTAGACCGATCATCGGCGAACATCGCGTCGAATGTAAATTGTACGTCGAGAGGGTGGTCGAGAGGGTTGAGAGCACGGTTAATTAGAAACGTAATTCGATGTTCTCCGAGCGAATAAGCCCATGCATAGCGGTCGAGTGCAAACAAACTTGCACGAGACGATTGTTTGTCAACTTTCAACTGCCGCGCTCATTTTACGTAACATTGTTACAGCAGCGATGCAATGGATTACGCTATAGCCTGTACAGCGGGCCAATGAGACCCAAACTGATCAACAAAGAAATGGTAAGAAGAAAGTACTGTAGACGGTATTGAAACAAACGAGTAACAAACGTTACAAGACTGTTACAACTGGATTCTGGATGTTTATACAGTTATGGCAAATGATAATCTGGACAAGTGTACGAGAATGCGTACAAATTCAAAAAGAAAAATATACATCTCACGATATATACTTTCTCTTACATTAGTTTTCAATTCTTTTTCTGTACCTGTGAAAATATGATTTTGCATAAACATCCGTATGTACGTATGAAGGTAAAATATCAGGTATAGATAAACATAAATATACAATAAATATTAGAATTTAGCTAGCAACAAGTTTAGGAGGAAACTTGATCCCCCTCGTCGTTGGAAAGGACACGAAACTCAGGTTCGAAGGGCTCGAGCAGCGCAACTAGCGAATATCACTTGTACCTGTACCTGTACCTGTATCTGTACCTGTACCTGGGGCCAGTTTCGGCGGAACGCCGCGCCGCGGAGGATAACCCAAGAAACAGTGCACTTACGGGTTCGTCTTTCATCGACTTTTTGTCTCGTCAGCTGAGAAGAAGACCGCCGTGGGATCGTGGCAGCTGGAACTTTGCAACGAAAAATCGCCTCGACGGTGTTCGAGGCGCGATTTTAACTCGCTCTCGCGGATTTTAAACGATAAATCAACCCTTGTCGCTTCGAGGCCAGAGAAACACCGCTTACAGGATACAATTGCGACGATCTCTACGATTTCTTGTACGCGGTTACGGTAACGGAGAGTATTAGAAGGTTTCGAAAGGAGGTCGAAGGTGACTAATTGGAAATCCAGGTGGCGGAGGACCAGGAAAGCTCGCTCGAATTACAGAAGATCCAGGGAATGGCGTGAAGAGGGAGGAAGGAGAAAGTGTGTTTTAGGAATCGAAAAACGCCTAGCCTATACACGATACGACACGTCTACTAAGGACCGAGCCGAGCGTGTCAGAGGCTCCGCGGACGCTCGAGCGTCTCGTTTACGTTTACGTCTACGTTTACGTTTACGTTTACGTTTACGTTTACGTTTACGGTTTCACCGTTCGCGGGCTCTGGCCCGTTTGTCTCGTGGATCGCGTGCACACGCATAATGCTCACGTCGTTTCACGACAAACAAACAATCTCGCGAAAATGATATTGGCACGGGATACCGTGTACCCGCGCGTCCCCGTCGGCCAGAGGCGCCTCGACGCCCGTTAATCGAGACCGGATGCGACTCGAACGCCGACGATCCGCTCGCGCGGACTCACGCTAGACGACTGGATGCGATACGATTACGCCATTACGCTGCCAGTGCCACCCCTCTGGCTGCCGTTTCTTCCTTCCTGCTCCCACCAGCTGCCCGCAACCAAGACTACGCAACCCCCACGAACCGCGTCCTTCGCGTCTTCCAACCCCTTTCTCGCGCCTTTTCTTCCAAAGAGGACACCTATCCCCAAACGCCGCGGCGCGGTCTTTTGTCTCGCCACCAATCCCTTTTCGCTTGATTTTTATGCGATCTAGCTGTAGGCTGTAGATGGTGATCGCGATTAGAACGAGGAACGGCTGTGTCGCAGATAACGACACCCCGATGGATCACGTGCTTAAGGTTAATCCGGGCTGCAGGGAAATCAAGGATCGATGCAGAAACTGTATGCAAACGGTAGACTCCCTTTGGACTCGTTTCGAGCACCCTGAGATTGCTGGTGACGTTGCTTAGATAATGGGGAAATATTAGTTTGGTAGGCTAACAGGGACACGTGCTAGAGATCACTTTATCGGTCTCGTCAAACTTACCAAACGTGTCTCTCGTTCGTAGTACAGATTACAGAGTAGTACAGAGGCTGATTAAATGATTAACGGTTCCAGTAAACATATCGGACAATAATACTGTGATTCTTCGAGATAAATCATAGGTTTCGTTCCAAGGAAAATGAAGAATCGATGCAGAAACTGCATCGAAACGGTGGATTCTCTCTGGGATCGTTTGAAGCACCGTCGCTTTAACGACGCGCAAAATGAACGGTATTACCCTACGTAATGTCTTTGAACATTAACGGTATCGTTCTTTGAGTTACTCTTTCAGATTCTGTTGGCGGGAAATCTGCACGCTACGAGACAATCGAGAATAGTTGGATACTACGATGTAAATATCAATCCAACAACGATTCTAACGAATCACATACGTAAATATTACATAATACGTGTACTAATTGTGTGAAAATAAAAAATTTATATAATTAACTTTAATTATTATACATGCCTAAACGCTAATACCAGTCGATAAAATATTAACCCAACGACTACTGCCTAGTAAGTTTTAGCACAGCATTCGCCTTGGTTCGAAGAAAATAAATCTAGACACGATTCTTCTCGAATTTATCTCGCGTTATTCTATCTCGAGTACTGTTCCGAGACCGTTATCCACGTAATTGTTCGAAACATCTATCTACAGGATCAAAGTGGACGCTCGAGGATACTCTGTATTAGAGTGAAATATGAAATGCATCGAGAGGATAGATTCTCTGATGGGTTCACGGCTCGTACCAAGGACAAGGATTCTTCAACGAACTCGCGATATGTCCAATTGTCGATAACATTGGCCAAGTAACGGTTCGTTGGTTCGCGATACACGCGAGATCATTAATTTAATAATACGGCTCGAAAGACATTTTTTCGAGTGGGGCTCCGCGAATGGATTCAACCCACTTGTTTCGACCTAAAATTCCATGCCCAGAAAGTTTTCCAATAATTGCGCTGCCCTTGCCACCGAATCGAGACCAAAGTGCTCTCGTTCGCGTTGGACGCCTTCGATATACAGGCTGTTACAGCAAAGCTGCTACCATCGAGCAATAAATCAAGCAATTGACGAGTCTTTGTTCGTCATTAAAAGCAACAAAGATACTTCTTTCAAAGATCTTACTTTAGGATAATTTAAATACTTTGACAAATCTCATTGATTTTTACAATTTATTTTACGATATCTTACAATTTATTTTACGATACAACACATGCTTGAATTTTTTTTTTATCAGATACAATATTATAGTAATGAAAATACCTCGTACGATTTAACAACAAGAGAAAAAGAGAAAAAGAGAAAAGGAGAAAACAAGAAAACAAGAAAAAAAAAAAGAAAAAACGCCAATGATGTTGAAATCACGGAACGTATAACAAACTTGCAATCGAAAGGAAAAGGTGATTAGCCAGTGATTGTCGCGGTAGGAAATTGTAGTATGGACAGCGGGAGCGCAGTGTCATTTTGGCCGACGAGTTTGGCACGTCGTGGAACGTTTATTATTCAGCAGCGAGGATATCGGCCAATTAGGGTTCTACCGTTTATTGGTGACCGTTGCACGATACTTTCGGCCAACACACATCTACGGACAGGGCCGAAAAACCGGCGTGTCCGTGTGCACGCAAACGTTTGCGCACGCTCTCTAAAGAGGTGACCAGGACACGAGCATCCTTCTACATCCGATGGACCAAATGCAAACAACGCTTTGTGACATTGCCGTAGCTGGGGAACCTCTATCTATCCCATCCAAGACTGTATCCAACTATCCTAACGCCTACGACGACAATCAAACTACACAATTACAATTCTTTCTGAAGAATTTACATTTATCGAATAGAATAAACAATTCTGACAACATGTTAACCAGGTTCCTCTGCGTTCTAATTTTATTCTTCTGATCTTGATATCTTAGGAGCAGTTACATAAACTTTGGTGTTTCATTGACAAAAAAATTGTTCAAAACGAGTAGCTAATGTCAAAGTACACTGTATTTAATTAATCTGGTAATCTTTGCTCCCACCAAACCAGCTAAGATAATCTGTCTACAAAACCCTTAGAACTGCGATGCAGCTACCCATTTCAATTCTTTTCCATCTTGTGCCAACGCATTGCTGTCGAGTTATTATTCTCCAACAGCATGTTATACATACAACTTTATCGAAATGTATTTGTTAAATTCAATTAAACTTCAAGTTTTGTGCACCCCTTTGTGTTTACATTGAAATCCCCTTAGCCTCGCCAGAACAGCACAGCGTTAACACATCGCTCGAATCTAGATTCTGACCTTGTTCTCTGAAGAGTGGTCGGTATTGTTTGAGGCCGATTTCAGCAAGCCACTGATCAGCCTCGGTCAGATCTCCGTTGTTTCCATTTCCGGTGGCAAGCATCAGAAGTTTGCCAAGGGACAGGACCATAGAAAGAGCCAGGAACACTCCCGACAACACGGTCGACCATCGTGCCATTTCCTGATGGTTGCATCTTCAACACAAAGTGCCATAAATGTTTTCTATTGCAACACGCGACCTTTCTACATACATACATATAATTCACTGTTAACAGGTTATGTGTCGGTGTTTGAGGTTATGTTGCCGTGATGTTTGTAAACAAAACTGTGTCGTAGAACGTAGCTAGGCAATAGGTTACGGTATATATTAATACGGCTTTACCACATTTTCATACGGCTAATCACTGCCACGTAACGCAATTGATAATCTTGCGCAGTTTTATGGAGTAAGAACATGCGTGTGAAGAACTCGCGAGTCCCTTACCGCCTTACCCATTACCATTCTTCTCTTACTTTTAACGTTATCGTGTCAGTTTGACAGAAACTATCAGCGCTATTAACCTTGACAATTGGAACTAAATCTTAATATCTGTGCCGCCATCCGTGGTAAAACGCCCAAGTTCGTACTGAACGATAGTTCCCACTGTTACTGATAGATAGCGCCATCGACACCTTTCTAAAATTACTTTTTTTTATTTCTCATAAATCCATACGTGATACGATTCTTTGCTCTATAACACTACAAGATATCATTTTAACGTATTAGTTAAACATTTGTCTGGCTCTACACGTTTAGACACGGAATCTTTTACTTAGTGACGCCATCTTACAGACACCTTCACAACTATTTTCACTTCAAACTTACCCGTTCACCCATCGATCCCGCCACTAACCAAAAGTTCCAAACCTAACCTAACCTCGAGTAAAATTTTCAAAGTCTATTTCGATATTTCAAACAGAATGGATTTATTAAAATTGATGGTAATAATCGTAATGTATGTATTAAAAACCTTTATGTCTGTAAACATCAAATATTCACCTATTTATTTTCAACATCATTTGAAACATTTTAATTTATTACAAAAAATCTGTATATATTGTATAATTCGAAATAAAAGCGAAATAATGATCAGTTGTCTTTCAACAAAATTTCATTTATACAATCCTATATTTATAAATAATAAAAGGTTATTATGCGTAACGACAAAGCAACTGTAATTCGTTGACGATACACAGTGATTAACTACTGTATATTATGTTACAAAATATATTTATAAGTCGCACCAGCATCATATTTAAATCTTTTCCGTTTTGTGAAATATTATTTAAAAGAAGCGCAACGTACATTATCCATCGATACGTTCGGTATATAAAAACTCAACTACCTGAAACTCAATAATAATTGAAGAGAATTAATTTTCTGAATTTGTTTTTCGATGCAGTTTTGCATTGATCGTCATCGGACAAAAATGCTTTTAAAATATATTTCTTCGGTATTATTTCGTACAAGCTTTTCCTTCCTGAATGTTTCAATTCATATAGCTACAATTTTATAATCACAGTATACGTAAAGTATACTTTATTTTTCAATACGGATTGTGGCCTTGCGGAGGGGGATGTCCACCATAACGTGGAAGAGTTGCGTATCCACCATAAGGTGCTGGAGACATGCCTTGATACGGATTGTAACCTGATAAACAAACAGTAGAGATAGTACATATTCCACGATATTATAAAAGACGCTGCAATTTGCAATTTGCAATTTTTTCAGTCACCTTGAGTGGGATAAGGCATCGTTGCGTAAGGATTATACGTCGCTGGCATGGGGGGAGGCATATATGCAGGATACGGTGTAGCAACCCCAGCTCCGTACGGTACGGGCATTCCTCCTTGGAAATTTGTGGGATAAGGTAACTGTGATGATCCACTTTGGTCTGCTCCAGACTGACCTTGTCCAGATGCTCCTAAATATATTTAGACATTTCAACTTTAGTATAGAATGCAAGAATTTATTTTTAAATACAATTCATACCGCTATGATGAGCTGGAATGTTGGGAGTCGTAGCTGGACCACTATGGCTCAAATTTTTTGTTAAATCTTTCATAAGTTCCTCTTTTTCGGTTTTTCGAGCGAAACAAAAATCTGATATTTTATTTTGGAACACCACCAACAACTGCGCAAACAAAATTATTTGCAGAAGCGATACC